CCATCATAGCCAGAAGTGAAAGTCCCCCTCCACATTGTACTTTACAAACTTAAGGTTCACTTACACGTAAAAAGCTATGAAATAGTTTGGACATACAAAAAGGAATGAAGAATAGTATAGTAATCAACATCCATGGGAACTTCACTCAGTTTTACCAAATGGTTGAGACCCCTGAAGACCCCTTTTCATCACATCCCCTCCTTTTTTACACTATTTGAAGTTTGAGGTTTATCGTCCGCGTGGGCACCTCTTTGCTTTGTAAGGACACATGGAAGTTCACCTAAACAACATACGGAGCAGTTTTACCTGGTGCCGAGTGTGCCACAGATGGTGTCCTTTCCTAACTTGTTTTCATTTCGCATCTTGTTTGTGAGAGTCATTTGTTTTGTGGTGTGAAGCTATGATTCATTTTCACAGTGAGTAATTCTACCAACTATTTACTTTTCCATTCTCTTGCTGTTGGATATTTAGGTTGTTTCCAGCTTTTCGTTATTAAAAATCAATGCTGCTATAAACGTTGCTGCATATGCTTCTAGTGCACATGTGGCAGAGTTTCTCTTGTAATGTGCATAGGGGTGGAATTGCTGGGCCTCACGGCTAATGAGCTCATGCAAACTATTTTCCAGACCAATCGTATCAATTTACATTTCCGGTAACTGTGAATGAGAGTTCCCATTACACCCTGTCTTCAGCCACATGGGGTGTCCGCAGACTTTAGGTTTTGCCAATTGATAAAATAGAAATGGCGTGCCACTGTGCTTTTTATTTGCATTTCTCTGTTGGCGGGGAAAGAAACCACTTTATATTCTCCACAGCAGCTACTTCAATCTTGTTTTCTACCCCCAGGCTGGTCTACTTCCTCAGAATCTTCTGAAATCTGGCCAACTTTTAAGCTGCATTACCACAAGCCCAGAAACCGCTTCTCGGCACTGGGGCCAGGTGCGCAAGCGCCTGTCCAGGGCTCCCTGCCAGCCAGGGCTGTGCTGGAGTACATTACCTGCAATGAGGCGGGTAGTGCTTGCCACAGACTTGTAGCCAAGAGTCGTGACCCCATTTTATAGATGAGCAAACAGAGAACAGAGGGTCAGGAACTTGCCCAAGGACACCCAGTTGGGACCGGGCAGCCAGGTTTCAGGTGCTCTTCACTCCTCTGCAGGAGGCTGCGCAGGGAGGTGCTGCTCAGGGCCCCTTCGCAGGAAGCCCAGTAGGGCACCCTCTGTCCTTCGCGGAGGAAGCACACCTACCTGGGGTCTGGTGTGCAGCTGGCAAGTAAGTTGCTGTCGCCCGCAGGAGCCCTGGTGAGAAGTCCCATAAATAGAAGGATTCGGGGCAGGGAGCGCAGTGGGATGCGGGGGAGTTCCCACTCGGTTGGGTGGGAACACGAGGAGAAGACGTCATCCATCGGTCATGGCTGGTGTTTCCCAGAAGCCAGCGGTCTGTTTTCACTGGTGGTAAACATCCCTGGGCCCCTCTGAAAGCGTTAGACCCTTTTCAACCTTCTCTCAATCCACTGATGGCCGAGGGCGTGAGCATCTCGGTTTGGTGCTGGAATGTTTTAAACGCCTCTCAGACACTCTTCCATCCCCCTTCAAACAAAGGCACACAAAATCTCAGGTCCTAAGTCTTAAGCAGGGGTCGCATCTTCCTAAAATTCAATGACTGTCTTTTGTTTTCCTTGTATTTAGTTTTCATATTTCACTGTATTTGGTTTTATGGTGAGTTGACTGTTTTGTTTAAGAAACACTTAGATAACATCTACTATATGCCAGGGTTTGTTCCAAATGCTTTACAAATATTGACTAATTTAATGTGAAAAACTTATGATGCAAGTACTGCTATTACTACTTCCATTTCACCCCGAGGACCCCGAGGCCCAGGAAGTAAACTTCTCAAGGCCTGGGAGAGACGGGACAGAGCTATGCAAACGGCAGTGCGGGGATTTGAACCGAGGCACGCTGGCCCCAAGTCTGTGTTTTAACGACTGTGGTACACACTGCCTCTCCGTTTCATGCTAATTACCTGTCAATGGTAGTGATATTGCATCTTCCTTTATGACATGTTTGTTGGGGCGGTAACAGGAGGTAAAATAAAGATACATGGCAAATAGAAAACAGCACGGTGGGAACCTTGACTGCAGTGAGTGGTAGGAGTACTGGAACATTTCAAGGTGGCTTCCTGGGTGCAGGGACAAAGCAGGTGGGCTGTGAAGGCAGAGGCTAGAGTGATGAGAGGGAAAAGGGTGTTCAAGGAGAAGACGGCATGAGAATTTGCCTCATGCAAAGGCAGAGAGGCATGGTGGGCCTGGGGTGCGAGGAGGATTCTGAGTAGTTCAGATCAGCGGAACAGTAACAGCAGGAGTCCAGCACCCTCGTATCGTCGCTGGCAGTCACAGAGCACTGCCCCATCTGCTTTCCCACGGACTCCCCTTCAGGGCCAGGTGCCATGGGCATTATTGTCCCCATTTTAGAGATGGGAACTGAGGACAGAGAGTGAAGGCCCAGAAAAGCTCCAAGATCCTCTGGCTTCAAATTCTGGGCCCTTTACTCTATCCCACTGTATCAGGTTTCTTTGGTGGCAAGCAACAGAAGCATAATTCCACATGGTTGAGCAAAACAGGCCCCCCCCCCGGCTTATGTAAATGAGGAGTCCAGGCATGGACTTCAGGTACGGCTGGATCCAGGTCCTCAAATGAAGCCACGGGGCTCTAGTCTGTATCGATCCGTACTGGCCTCATTTCCAGGCAACCTTTCTGTAGGTGACAGAGATGGGTACCAGCGTCCAGTGGGCACTCCCAAAGTCCCTCTCAATTAGAGTTCTAGAAAATTCCCAGGACGGCTCTCACGGGCATGCCCGGGCTGCTGCCCATTCTGGCCCCGTCCCCGTGGCTAGGCCGGTGGGAGCTTTGCTGGCCCGGCCTGGGCCAGGTGCCCACCCTAGGGAGTCCCAGCCAGTTGGAGGAGTGCCTCATAAGAGGGGCAGAGAGGCCAGGCGGACAGAACAGCAGCTCCCCTCCACCCCCAGGGCCTGTGTGTCATTTGTGTAGAACTGAGGCATGTTGGCCGAGGGGACCCTTGGGTCTGGGTGAAGGAATTTGTGCTTTATCCTGCAGTTAAGGCAGAGCTGCTGGGGAGGGACGGGACAGAGCGATGCAGGGCCTTGTGCTGGGCTGGGGCCCACGTGTGGACACGCTAGGGAGACGCAGGTCTGGCTCCGTCTCCTGTGGTGGGAGGTCCAGTCCTCCAAGTGTGGTAACAGGACTGCTGCTGGGCTTGGGGCCAGGTCAATGGGCTTCAAAGCAGCTTTATGAGGGGTTTCCCCCAACATTATCATTAAAAAACAACAACCCACATATTTTTATTGATTTCGCGGAGAGGAAGGGATAGGAAGAGAGAGATAGAAACATCGATGAGAGAGAAACATCAACCAGCTGCCTCCTGCACGCCCCCTACTGGGGATCAAGTCTGAAACCTGGGCATGTGTCCTGACCAGGAATTGAACCAGCTACCTCCTGGTGCATGGTCCGGCGCTCAACCACTGAGCTACACCGCCGGGCTATCGTATTTTAATAGCAACGTTATTCATTTTAACGTGTGTTGGGAAAATTGCACAACTATGGAGATTATTGCTTAAGATGAGGTTGGAATTAATTTTGTAAGTAACTTCATTTATAGAAAACATTAAATAAACAAATGATCTGCAAATATGGCCAACATTTTGAAAGTGAGACATTTGGGGAGCTCTTGGCTAGGTCCTTCTTGAATGCCTTCATTTCTGAAGCTCTAAATTCTGTATCAATCAGGGCTCTTTATTATTGAGTGTTTGGGTGTCAGGGGCATGCAAATCACTCTGAATTCTCACAAGAATCCTGGAAGTGGGCTTTACTGTTTCCTGCAAGGCTCAGAGAGGGCAAGTGACTGGCCCAGAGCCACACAGCTGGTAATCTGACCCTCTCCGTGCCCTTCGAGGCTGACTACTTGGGACTTGGAAGGGAGCTCAGAGCGAGCTTTTGATGGGGCCGGAGTAGGATCTTGGGAACCCCGGTGTGTGGGGGGGTGTCCCGCTGTGGGCTCGGGGCTGGTCTGGAAGAAGCCAGGTGTGTGACTTGCTCCCTGCATGGATCATCCCTGTAGGCTCCAGTTCCAGCCATTCCCCTGTCCGTGGGGGAGGTCTGGGTGGGGATCCTGGCCTGGCAGGCGGGCCCACTGGCCTCTGGCTGGCACCTCCCCAAGCAGACACAGAACTGGGGATGCAATGGGCAAGGCTGGCACTGCCAGCCTGGTGGGTTGTTCCTCTGCCAAGGGCACCAGAGTCCACTCCTCCTGGGTGGGCTGCTGTTCCCCACAAAGGTCTCTTCTCCATCTCACCTAGACCGGGGTGCCCAGGTCCCCTTTGGTTGGCGGGGTCTGGGTTTCCAGGCGCTGCATCTTGGGCAGCCTGGGCTTTGGATTGAGTAAAGGCTCATGGGACGAACCTTATCTTCGGGACCCAGTCGGGGTCTCCTTTGTGGGTGAATCTTAGATTCGTTGTTTAGTGAGGAGACAGTTTACAAGGCTCACGTCAACACGAGTGTCTTACGGGAGGGGGCACTCAAGATTGCTGCTCATTGAATATCACTTTCCAAACCCGCGTCCCCTCCCCACTCCTTCCTCCTCAGCTGCATAAATGCCCACATGTAACCCCACACACAGTGTAGACTGAGTGTGTGGGGGAGAGCAGCGAGCCCCTCCCTCTTTGAACTCACCTATCACTTGTGACTGTGTATGGGGGACAGGAAGAAGGTGGGAGAAGAGGGAGGGGGACCCACGGGGGGGCTGTTTCCAAGGGGCAGGGATTCTTGGGAGTGTCCTCGGGCTCCTCAAAATCTTGTTTTTCTGAGACACATTCAGGAATCTGAGGCAAGTCTCCCAAGGGAGGGATGGGGACCAGAGGGAGGCTGTCCAGGGTCCCCTGATCCCCAGGCCGGGGCCCACCGTCTGCTGTGCGTCTCTTGCAGGCCCGGAGTCAGCATGCCGCGTGGCTGGGCCGCCCCTCTGCTCCTGCTGCTGCTCCAGGGCGGTGAGTAGCTGGCCCACCTCTGCAGCGGGCGGGCAGGCGGGCCTGCGGGCTCTGGGTCTGGGTCCAAGTCCCTGGCACCTGTCCACTGGAGGCGGACACAGGGGGAGCCGCCGGCTCTCCACGAACCAGAATTCATCCACCCGGAGCGCCTCATTAGCCAGGTTCGGGCAGGTCCAAGCAGCCCGGCCCTAGCTTGGTCTTTGAGGCCCTGGGAGACCGCACCCTGCATTCCCGTGGCCCTGCCGTGGCAGGGCGTCAAACTCCCCCCTCCCTCCGTGAGGAAGTCCTGCCTCTGGTCCCACCTCATCTCCTAGGGGAAGTTCTTCAACCATCCCCAGGCTGCCTTCAGGCACTGATGCTCCCAGTGAGGAAGAGGGGGTGAGGACCAAAGTAGCCAGAACCTTAAAGGTTCTGGAGAAGCTGCAGCTGGAGGGAGGGGATGTCAGACACGGAGCTGGGGAAGGCCAGGCGTTAGACACGGGGCACGGCCAGGGCTGAGAGATGCAGGAGGCCTTCCCAGAGGAGGGGCGATGCAGCCGCAGGCTCCAGTGGGGCTGGACGGGGGCAGGGGGCCTTCAGCCACTCACTGACCATCAGCATTTCTCTCTGGTTTTTCCTTAAAGACCCAGAGCCTCGAATAGCTCCTTCAGCAAACAGGTGTCAGGCTCCTGTCCTGAGCAAGGCCCACTCTGCCCTGGCTCTCACAGGCCTTCGGGGTACCTGCCATAGCACCGCACCTGTGGGCACCAGTAGCGAGCCCCGCTCTGCATGGTGCCGAGCGCCATCTCAGCCCATGCTCCTGACCGCCCACCAGGCCCATGCCGAGCACCGCCCAGTTCTCAGTTGAGAAAACTGGCTCCGAGAGGGTCAGACACAGGTCACGGCCACACGACGGGCGGCGGCAGCCTTGGGGTCAGGCCGCAGGTGTGCTGATTCCCGTGGTCACCTGGCTTGGCTGCTTTCCTGGAGCACGGGCTGCACGTGTGACAGACAGCACATGCTCACCTCCACACCCTCCAGGGACCATGTCCCCCATTACAGGTAGTGGCCCCAGTGGCCTGAGGCACGTGTCCACGCTTTGGTAACCGCAGGCCAGGGACAGCCCCGAGGCTGTCGGCCCAGGGGCAGGGCCAACCAGGTGGCTGGGTTTTTACTCCCTCTGGTCCCTGATGTCACCTCCCTCCCAAAGCAGTGCTCATTCTCCACAAGTGCCCGGGACAGGCCTGCCTCCTCCCAGAGGGGAGCCTAGAGCGGGAGTCATTTCCCAGCCCGGCCCGCGGGAGGGCTCTGAGGCCACACCCAGGGAGTGTCCTGTCCACTAGCATTGCCTGCCCATGTGTGGAGGGTGGACGCCAGGACTTTCCAGAGCGGTGCTCCCGGCTCGGAGCCCAGCTTCTGACCTGGGTCCCCATTGGTCACAGAAAAGTAAGGAAAAGCCATTGACGATGAAGCTATTTAAACAGGGGAACACACTTCTGGTAAATGGTGGGAGGGAGGGGGGAAGAGCAGCACTGGCACTTGATCTGATAAAACAAAACTAAAACTTATTACGTTTATTTTGTTAAATACGGAACAAAATTTAGATTATGACCCACTTAGTTAATTCTGTCTCATTAGGAGTGTCTTGTCCCCGTCGCTGGCCTTGAAACTTTGGGGGCTCAGACAAGGAATCTTAGGGGACAAGGACCTCCTTGCCTCAGTCCCACATCTTGGTGGCCCCTGACTCGCGTATTCATCCTGGCCCTGGGACCCGCCTCCACTCATCCTCCAGCCCTGGACAGGCTGAGGGAGCGGGGAGCTCTGCAGCCCCTCCCAACCCCTACCAAGGCCTCTCTCTCCCTCGCCCTGCAGCCTGGGGTTGCTCAGACCTTGTCTGCTACACCGATTACTTCCGGACGGTCACCTGCTTCCTGGAGACGTGGACCCCCCACCCCAGCGTGCTCACCCTCACCTGGTAAGTGGCTGGGCCTCCCCGGCCCTCGGAGTGCTCCTCAGGGGGGCCTGGTCCCAGCACAGGACCACAGGAGACCATGAGCTGAGTTGGACCTACTGTGTGCCAGATAGGTAGTTTAGCAATAAAAACAAGAGCTGCCGCTTCCTGGGGGCTCACTCAGCAACTTCACCCACAGCATTTGGTTTCACCCCAAGAAAGACTGTGAGATGGGAGTCACTGCGCCCATCTTGCAGACGACCACCCAGGGCTCATGGGACTTGTGCAGAGAATGACTGAGAGGCGTAGGGCAGCTCTGTCCAGCTCTAAGGCCATTCTCTGTCACTCACGCAGGCCTGACTATGGTTTTGAGACGCCGAGGTGACGGGACTCCCACACGATGTTTTTGAGCACTTAGTACATGCCAGGCAGCCCGCCACGTGCTTCACATGAATGACCGCCTCCGGTCCTCACAATTATGACTCTCATTTTACAAGTGAGGGCACTGAGGTTCAGAGAGGTTATGCAACTTGCCCGAGGTCACACAGCCAGCGAATGGCGGACCTGGTTTCAAACACAGGCAGCCTGACTCCAAACTCCACGGGTCCTTATAAGTCCATATTGTTAAGAAAAAAAATCATGCATGACACTTGTTCAAGAACGGTAGGGCGGACTTTATTAAAGACCATCGTGACAGGCTAGGGCCATTGCACAGGATTTTGCTGATTGGGCTCAACTCGGAACACAACAAGGAAAAGCTGGGTTTATAGCCAAGGAGCAGGGTGGGTCAGCGCATGGAAACCACGAGGCGGGAACACCAGGGGTCAGAGGGCTCCGGGCTAAGCCGACCTAACAGGGCTCCTGCTGAGGCCGCCCAGGGGGCCCAGACTCCACCGGGGGCTGGTGGAGGAGGAGGAACCCACTTTGGCATCGAGGGTGGGGCTTCTGGCTGGACCGACTTAGCAGGAGTCTTGCTCAAAGTAGACGATGCAGAGACAGACACGGAAACCCAAAAGTCAGGGCCACGGTGAGGAGAGTTCAGAGGAGCCTGCGTAGCGTGAGGTCAAGGAGAGACTTTGCCATCACCCACTCATTCATCCATTCACACGGGCACTTTGATTAAGCTCCTGCCTGACACGTGCAGGCACTGGTGACTCAGCAGAGGCCCAGTCGTGCGGTCCCAGGTGTCCTGGAGCTGACACACGCAGTGGGAGTGGCTGGTGACACACACACACACACACACACACACACACACACACACACACGCAGCCAGCAGGATGCTTTCTGAGTACAATGAGTGCTGTCAAGAACAGGAAGCTGGACCCCCTGGTAGAGAGCAAGTGACGTGGGGGAGGACCAAGGGGTCAGGGCAGCCTCTGTGGGTGAGGAGGAGGCAGCGGGTGAGCTGGGGAAGGGCCGTCCAGGCAGAGGGCACTGCATGTGCAAAGGGCTCAGGCGGGAGAGCTGGAGAGCTGCAGGCATGGTGAGGAGGTCGGTGTGGCCAGAGGGGGTGGAGCCAGGTGGAGGGGAACAGCAAGTACAGGAGGCGAGAGGGTGGCAGGGCGGGGCTCTGTGGTGTGGGCGGTGAGAAGCCACCGCAGAGTGCTAGGCAGGGGAGTGACAGGAGTTTTTAAAGGCCCCCTGGCTGCTGTGCAAGGGAAAGAGATCGCTGGGAGGGCGGGCAAGGCGAGGACCCCACCAGGCAGCCATCACAGTGTCCAGGCTGGAGGCTTGGAGAGCATTGATTCAGGAGACGTTTCTATTCCAGCCAACATTTAGCAGAGCTCTGAACCCACACGTCCATACTGGCCCTGGAGGGTGGTCATGTTCTGAGCCTGAATTTGTAGGTAGCGGGGGCTGGGGGGGGCGCGGGGAATAGCTCGTGAACTTCTATGCATCCTTCAAAACCCATTGTTTCTGCCCAGTGGGAGTTAAAAAGCCAGCACATTTCCCCCAACCCCATATTAACTACCTCCCTGGAAGTTCACCAGAGCAGGACGGAGCTTCGAGTGGCTCTTGCTTCGGTGTTCGGTGGATTTTGGATGGAAGGAGAGTGGGAAGGAGGCTGGAAATGCTTAGCGCCCTTCCTGTGGGACAGTGATCCAGGAGATGGAGTGGACAGGGTCAGAGTTAGAATGCATTCAGGCAAGAGTGGCCCGATTTCTGCAGTTGAGAGCTGCTGCTCTGAGTGATGGAGTGAGTCTGGTCGCTTAAAGGTGTGCAAACCCGGAGCCTGGACCAACCCACCAGGGCTGCTCCAGGGGAGGGTAAACCTTCCCTGGGGAAAGGCTGGTTGGACTAGGCCAGTGGTCAGCAAACTCATTAGCCAACAGAGCCAAATATCAACAGTACAATGATTGAAATTTCTTTTGAGAGCCAAATTTTTTAAACTTAAACTATATAGGTAGGTACATTGTTATTAATTAGGGTACTCCTAAGGCTTAGGAAGAGCCACACTCCAGGGGCCAAAGAGCCGCCTGTGGCTTGCGAGCCGCAGTTTGCCGACCACGGGACTAGGTGAGCTCCAGCCCCACCTCCTGCCCCTTCCGTGCACTGAGCCCCGCCGGCCACTAGCCGTGACTGGCTGCTCTGTCCTCGAAGGCAAGACCCCTACGGAGAACTGGAGGATGAGGTCACCTCTTGCAGCCTCCACCGGTCCACGCACAATGCCACTCACGCAAAATACACGTGCCACATGGATGTGTTCCGCTTCATGGCCGACGACATTTTCAGTGTCAACATGACAGACCAGCCTGGCAACCGCTCCCAGGAGTGTGGCAGCTTTGTCCTGGCCGAGAGCCGTGAGTACTTGGAGGAGAACCCAGGCGAGGTTGGGCCCCACGCTCCCCGGGCCAGCTCCCCCTGCCTCTCGTTGGAGGTCGGCCCTGTAGATGCGGCGTTTGCCAGGTGTGGGGTGGCAGCGGGGCCTGGCCTGAACCAGAGACAGGCCGCAGGGGGTGAAGGAGCTCTGAGACCGGGACCTGGGGCTGCAGTTCTGTTCAGCCCCGTGACCTTGCACTATAGAACGAGAGCCCCTTAAACTCTGACCTCTGGGACTCTCTCCCAGTCTGAGGCAAGTTGGGGACACTGAGTCACTAGAGAAAACCTCCCCAAGTTTCCTCCCATCATTAGCTCCGGGAGGCAGGGAGGAGGCCCAGGGACAGAGGGCCCTGGCTGGTGGAAGCAGTTGTCTTTGTGGGTCCAGAGCCAGGGTGGGGCAGGGAAGGGGCCGGAGGCAGCTTTTAGTGTGATGTGAGCGCAAAGTGGGGTGTCCAGGTAGGAAGTGAGAGGCCTGTCCCCAGAGTCATGCAAAAACGAACCGCCAAGAGAATCCGCCCTCGGGAAGGCGCAGGCCTGGGGTTTGGCAGTGTCTGCCTCCGGGCCCCAGTGGAGGGGCAGGGGACACGCAGGTGTCTGTCATTCGAACTCTGGGGTCCAGGTCTGCACCACTTTGCTGAGTGGATGTCACACCACAGAGCATGTGCTCAAACTTCACACACACCTAGGCACACCCAGACTTTCACACGCGTGCACACACACACACACACACACACATACACGAGGACACACACACACACACGGACACACACATACCTAGGCACACCCAGACTTTCACATGCACACACACATACACACATACACACACACACACACACACGGACACACCCAGACTTTCACATGTGCACGCACACACACATGGACACACACGGACACACATGGACACACGAACACTCATAAACACCCTCAACCCCTGGCCTAGACAGCACGGACATAGATGCCCACATTCTCATGTTTATGCACACGCATGCACACACATGCACACTCACTCAGCCATTTAGATCCAGGGTGGTGGTTTACCGAGCAGGGGTGCCCTCCTATCTCCCTGAGAGCTGGGCAGGCAGAGGAGGGCACAGGGCAGGGCTGCCCCTCCACCTGGCATTTCTCCGGCCCTCCCTCCCCGCTCCTGCCAGGGTCTGAGGCCAGGCCTGTGCTCAGCGGTGGAGGAGGCAGTGTCCTGTCCCTGGGCAGCCTTCCCCGGCCCCTTGGTCCTCCTGGGCCCTGGGCTGCGTCAGCATCTCCCGAGTTGAGTTCCCCTGTGAATTTGTCCTTACCAGCCAATCAGGCCCCGCCGGCCTGGGAGGAGAGAGGAGGGCTTAGGGACTATTCCAGTTCAGAGGGGCCCGTGGCTGAGAGAGCACAAAGCACAAAGCGCTCAGCACGGCGTGAATGTGCGCCTTCTCGCACCTCAGGCCGCGGGCGGAGTCGGCTTCAGAGCTCCTTTTGGAACACCTGGATTTAACAGGCACTTTGTGAGGGCCTACTGTGTGCCGGACTCTGTCCTCGGAGGTGCAGGCACAGCACGGACCCCGGAGAACTAACCCTCTGCCCCAAGGAGCTGAGATCCCAGAGAGGGGGTGGCAAGCAGCTCGGAGAAGGCGGGTGTGGGCGCAGGCCCCGCATCCCTCTGACAGGAGCAACTTGCCACTGGCTCCCCTGACGCTCCCTCCTTCTCTACTCAGCTTGGTCCATGAATGTTCACTCTGTGTGATAGGAACCGATTCCCTCTTCCAAGAGAGGACACGAAGGCATGCACTGTGGTGTGTCCTGCTCAGGTTGAAAGCAGATTTGGGAGGGGCCCCCCCGGGGCCGCGTGTGTGGTCCAGATCGCCGCGCTTACCCTTTCCGGGAGGTGCCTGTGAGGTGCGGGCGGTCACACTCACGGCCACTCAGCTGGTAGCTTCCCGCCACAGCAGGACACTCATTACAGCCGAGTTCTGCAGAGCAGAGTCATCAGCCCCTCACTGGTCAGCGTCCTCTGCCTTCTCAGGGCCGATGGGGCTCACTGACGCCCTCACTGACAGCAGAACTAGAGAACCTGTGGGTGTGGCCATCAGGGAGCTTAGAAAGGCCTGGATCAGCAGCTAACTTTAACATTTGAGCGATTTCCTACAATAATCTGGGCTTTCCGGGTCTTTCCTTCCTGGCCACCCTGGTCTGCATTCCTGCCCGGCCCCTGTGCACTGGGAGGGCTCTTTATAGTTTAGTGCCCACACCTGCTCAGATGAGTAAACTGAGGCCCGGAGACAGGGGAAGCTTCACCCAGCCACCCGGGGCCACTCATCCTGGTCACAGAAAGGGATGGGGCCACCAGGGCATGTCCCAGCTGATACAAATCTCACCCATTTTTATCTTTTCTGGCTTTTTTTCTTTAAGTCAAGCTGTCTCCTCCTTTTCAACGTGACCGTGACCTTTCTCGGAACATTATAACATTCCCCCAGAAATCAAATTAACCCTCGAACGTGCTCAAGGGGCAAACTCCAATTTGATTTCGGGAAAAGAAAGGCGGAAACCCCCTTAGCCCATGTGAACTCCCAGGAAATGTGTTGGAAGCCGGGGGGGGGGGGGTCTCGGGGCGGGCGGGGGGGGGAGGAGTGCAGCGCATCTGCGTGGGGGAGGGGAGTGCCCGGGAGACCGGTGAGCTGGTCATTCACAGCCAAGAATGGAAACCCAGGACACACCCAGGATGGAGCCCCCCTTACACGCTCTCATGCTGCCCTCTTCCCTTCTCCCTGGGGTAGGAGACCCCTTAAACCTGTTTCCTTCCCGTTCCCGGGTCCTGTCTACCAGCTGCCAGAGGAAGGGGCTGGCACCTCTGCAGGTCCCGCCTCACGTCTAGCGACAGTAGTTGTTTCAGAATTGGGGGTTTGGAACCGTCCCCCTTCGCTTAGGACGGCCGGCCGCAGTTGAGGAGTTCCGGAAGCTTCCATAACCAAAAGGTCCGGGGTCAGAAGGACATTGTTTCTAAGCTGAAGGCCCAGTGGTGTCCTTTGTCTAGGTGTAAGAGGGTTCCAGATGGCCGCTGTTAGAAGGGCTCCAGCGTTCTCTACCCTTTAGAATGTCCCCAGTTGAAGGTTTTCATGGTTTAGTCTGTCCCCGGGGAAGACTCCTGAGGTTTCCACGGCTAAGAGGCCTGTGGTGGGAGCCTTCCAAATGCCCGCTGTGGAGATGCCCGCTGTGGAGATGCCCGCTGTCTGGAACGCTGCCCGTTAAGCACTGCCAGGAGTGGCCGCTGCTCCTGGGACAGCCCCAGTCCCAGCAGGAGGGTCCCCTGCTGTGGGATCAGAGAGCCATGAACAAAGCATCGTGACCTGGGCAAGGCCGAGACGTGCCCATGGCTCTGTGCTGCCCACACTGAAGCGGCCAGAACTCCAGCTGGGGCCTGGCTCTCGGGCAGGGAGTGCAGACCCCAGGAGAGGGCTGGGGGGGTGGTTCTGCTGGCGGGGGGCGGTGAAGGCAGGGCCGCCTGCTCGCCCTCACAGCGCGTCCTTCCCCCGTGCTGGCAGAGTCCGGGGAGGAAGCTGATCTCAGTGGACGTCAGGAGTGTCTCCCTCCTGCCCTTGGAGTTCCACCCAGGCGCCAGCTACGAGCTGCAGGTGCGGGCGGGGCCGCAGCCCGGCTCCTCCTTCCAGGGGCCCTGGAGCGAGTGGAGTGACCCGGTGCTCTTTCGCACCCAGCCAGAAGGTAGGTGTGAAGCTGGGCGGACACCCACTCTTGGTGCCAAGCCTTGTCCTGAGCCCTGAGATGTCCAGCGTGGTGCAAGGTATCCACTCAGCTGAGCCCTATCCCAGGAGTAGCCCTTTGACAGTCGGGAGCCCCTGCTTGCAGGCCCTGCGCGGGGTGCCAGGGGCCTCTCCTGCCAGGCTGTGCGTCTCCCTATCAGTCTGTGAAGCGTCCTGAGCCCCATTTTGTAGATGAGAAAACTGATAAAGTCACTTACGCAGGGTGGGAGTGGGAGGGGGATTTGAACCCCACCCGTCTCACTTCAAGGCACCGAAGCCTTTCCAGCCCCTTCCCCTCCACCCAGACCCTGCCCACCGCCCCCCGCCACGCGCCTCTGTACAGGTGGGTTCCATGTGACCCACTATGTGCTTCTTCCCAGAGCTCACGGCAGGCTGGCACACGGACCTGCTCTATCTCTTCCTGGTCTTCACGCTCCCCATCCTTGTCTACTTAGGTCTGAAGATCCGCCTGCCTTGGAGGTGAGGCCAGGGGCTCAGGGAGGGGGGGATGGGGTCAGCCTGGGCCACAGCCCCTCTGTGACTCACCCGGGCTGGGGCACACCCGTCATGGAGACGGTGGCCATGACAGGGGTGGTGACAATGACCAGCTCCCGGTTTCCTACGTGCTGGGCGCTCACTCAGCCCTCACAGCCGCCCCGTGAGCTGGATGCAGACAGTGACCTCCATTGGACAAATCTGGACACTGAGGCCCGGAGTCGGCAGGGACCCTGCCCAATTCACACGGCTGTGAAACAAAGGAGGACCTTGAGCCCTGTGCTTTTTTTCTTTGTTTTTTTGGTGAATCCTCACCTGAGGATCCTTTTTTCCATTGAATTTTTAGAGAGTGGAAGGGAGGGAGGCTGGGAGGGAGGGAGAGAGAGAGAGAAACATCCATGTGAGAGAGGCACATCCATTGGTTGCTTTCTACACATGCCCCAACTGGGGCTGGGGATCGAACCTGCCCAGGTATGTGGCCTTGACTAGAAATTGCCCCTTTGATGTGTGGGCCGACGCTCTAATCACTGAGCCACCGGCCGGGCTGAACCCTGTGCTCTGAACAGTGGCCTCAGCTGTGATTGTGTCAGGGAATTCTAAGCTCTGACCTGGGGGCACGAGGGACTGCCCGGTGGGGTGACCCCCCACCCCCTCTGCCTCAATCCGGGGTTTTGCTTTTATTTGTTACGTGTTGGTTTCTGCTGAGCGTGGTCCCTGAGAGGAAGGTGCTGCTGACGGCACGCCCAGCATGGGCTCCCGGGCCTCCGAGCGCGGCCGGCTATGGTGGGGCCTCGCACGGGGGCAGCGCGTCCTGGTCCTCTCGGTCTGGAGACCGAGCCAGAGCCGGAGGCGGCGCCGTGGCTCAGGGCGCTCCTGGTGCCGGATGCCGGGTGCGCCCCGAATCCCCCACAGCCCCGAGGAGCTGGCCCTTTGGCCACCTGGTCCTAGAGGAGGAGCCGGGGCTCAGAGGGGCAGCGCTCACCAAGCACACAATGGGCGGCGGAGCCCTCGTGCCTTCAGGAGCCGTGGGCGACTTGCTGCCTCAGTTTACAGATGTGGACATTGTGGCTCAGGGCAGGCGGGAGGGGGGTGGGCAGGGACAGGGTGGAAAGGAGGCACTTGGGTGTGTCTTGGGAGGCGCTGAGACTCCTGTAGGACAAAGTTGGGGAGCATCTGAGGGGGAGGCCGGGCTGCCCTCCGTGAGATCGGGGGGCTGACCTTCTCTCTGCCCTCCCAGGCTGTGGAAGGTGTGGGTGCAGGTGCCCAGCCCCGAGCCATTCTTCCAGCACCTGTATGTGAGCCACAGCGGGAACTTCAAGGTGAGAGCCCCACCCGACCAGCCCTTGACACCTCTTACCCTCTCCAGAGCCCCCTCCAGTCCCAGCCCAGCCCCAGCCCCAGTCCCAGCCCAGCCCCAGCCCCAGTCCCAGCTAAGTTCCATGCCGAGTTGTCGCTGCAGCCCCAGCCTCCATCTCCCAGTCAAGCAGCAGGACCCAAGCAGTGCGTGTCTCAGACATACCTGGTTCTCTCTGTATTTCAGTCTCACTTCTACTCTCCCTAAGAATCAATGTCAAATTATCCCTGGTGAGCATTAACAATAATAAAAATAACTGTCATTTGGGAATTGTTTCAGGTCACTGCGGTCTGGTATTCCTCCTACTTCACTGACTGCCTATTTCCGTATCCTATGCTGATCCTCCTCATCTGCTCAATCTATCAATGTTGGGCAGTCAGTACCTGGTCCTCCTCTTCTCGTACCAGCTCACTCCGTTGGCGATATCATCGAGCCCATGGCTTAAATACTATCTAC